AGCTGTGCCATCAGCTCTTGCCATTCCTTCCACTCTCATCACTGGGAAAATCCACGTGGCCGGACTGTTCCTGTGAGCGCGGGACGGGGTGGAGCATGGGAGCATCGGACCAGGCAGCAGGCGCGTGTGTACTGGCTGAGCATCCACCCCAGAAGGATACCTCTGTGTCCTAATGCCTGGAACCTGTGAATGTGACTTTATTCAAAGTGTCTTTGAGCTGGGCATGGTGGCTGCACCTGCAGACCCAGCCACTCGGGAGGCTGAGGTGGGAGGATCACTTGAGCTCAGGAGGTCGAGGCTGCAGTGAGCCAAGATTGCACCACTGTACTCCAACCTGGGAAACAGAGCAAGCCCCTGTCTCTTAAAAAAAAAAAAAAAAAGAACCAAAGTGTCTTTGCAGATGTAATTAAGGATCTTGAGATGAAATCAATCTGGATTATCCAGGTGGCCCCTAAATCTAATGACAAGTGTCATTATAAGAGAAAGGAGGTTGGGCACAGTGGCTCACACCTGTAATCGCAGCTACTTGGGAGGCAGAGGCGGGAGGATCACTTGAGGCCAGGAGTTTGAGACCAGTCTGGGTAACACGGTGAGACTTTGGGACTACAAAAAATAAATTTAAAAAATTAGCTGGACTTGGGAGGCTGAGGCAGGAAGATTGTTTGAGTTCAGAAGTCTGAGGTTGCAGTGAGCTATGATCACACCACTGCACTCTAACCTGGGCCACAGAGCAAAGACCTCATATATATTTTTTTAAAAGGAGAGAGAGAGAAAGGAGAGGGAGACTGAGACCAAGATACAGAGGAGAGATTGGAGTGATGTAGCCAGAAGCCAAGGGACACCTAGAGCCACCAGAAGCTGGAAGAAGCCAGGAAGTATCCTCCTGAGCTTTCAGAGAAAGTGTAGCCCTGTTGACACCTTGATCTTGGGCCTGTGGCCTTCAGAACAGGGACGGAACGAATCTCTGTTGTTTTAAGGCATCTATGGTAATTTATTACAACAGCCGTAGGAAACTAACTCAGCCTTCCACATGCAGCCACATGGAGCAGAGTCTGGAAATATTTGTAATACATGATGAGACCCAAGTCACGTCTCTCTCTGCCTGTGAGACCTTGGGCACTGGGCTCAACCTCTCTGTGCCACAGAGAAGCGAGCTGCTTGGACCTGCTCCCACGGGGCATGTGAAATACAGAGCACAGAACAAAGGCAACTTCTACATCAGGCCTGTGCTTCTCAAACTTTCCCGTGCTCCAAGATCACCAGGGGAGCTTGATAAAATGCAGAAGCTGATTCCGTGGGCCAGGGATGGGGCCTGAGACTCTGTATTTCTTTCCTTCCTTCCTTCCTTCCTTCCTTCCTTCCTTCCTTCCTTCCTTCCTTCCTTCCTTCCTTCCGCAGAGAGCTGAGTTGCTTGACTTGTCCCATTGGGTGGCGTGGGAATATAGGAGGACAGAATAAGTAGACCGTGAGACAGGGCGAGGCTTAATTTGAGCCGAGATTGGAGGCGAGGCTGGCGGACGGCAGGAGGCGAGGCTGGAGGGCGGTGGTGGATTTTTCTTCGCCTCCTTCCTTCCTTCCTTCCTTCCTTCCTTCCTTCCTTCCTTCCTTCCCTCCCTCCCTCCCTCCCTCCCTCCCTTTCTTTCTTTCTTTCTTTTTGACAGAGTCTTGCTCTGTCACCCAGGCTGGAGTGCAGTGGCACAATCTCAGCTCACTGCAACCTCCACCTCCTGGGTTTGAGCAATTCTCCCACCATAGCTTCCCAAGTAGCTGGGACCACAGGCGCCCGCCACCATGCCCGGATACTTTCTGTATTTTTTGTAGAGACAGGGTTTCTCCATGTTGCCTAGGCTGGTCTCAAACTCCTGGCTTCAAGTGATCCCCCCATCTTGGCCTCCCAAAGTACTGGCATTACGGGCGTGAGCCATCGCACCTGGCTGAGACTCTGCATTTCTAACCAGCTTGCAGGTGAGGCTGATGTTTCTGGTCCACAGACCACACTGAGTAGCAACAGGCCAGAAGACCTCCCTCTTCATCCAGCCCACACACTGTCGGAGGGCAAGCTTCGTCAGCATTACTGGATTAGTGCCCCAGGGCTGCAGTAAAAAAGCACCACCAGTGGCGGCTGAAAACAACAGACACTTATTCCCTTGTAGTTCTGGGGACCAGAACTCCAAAATCAAGACACTGGCAGGGCTGTACTCCTTCTGAAGGTTCTAGGGGAGGATCCTGCTTGTCTCTTACAGTTGCTTGCGGTTGCTGGCAATTTTTGGTGCTCCCTGCCTTGTAGCTACATCACTCCCACCCCTGCCTCTGTTTTCACACGGCTTTCCTCAGTGGCTATCTCTATGTCCTCGCCTCTACTTTTTTCTTTCTTTCTTTCTTTTCTTTTTTTTTTTTTCGAGACAGGGTCTTGTTCTGTCACCCAGGCTAGACTACAGTGGTGTGATCTCATTACAACCTCTGCCTCCTGGGTTCAAGTGATTCTCCTGCCTCAGCCTCTTGAGTAGCTGGGAATACAGGGCATGCTACCATGCCAGGCTAATTTTTGTATTTTTAGTAGAGATGGGATTTCCCCATGTTGGCCAGGCTTGTCTTGAACTTCTGACCTCAAGTGATCTGTCTGCCTCTGTCTCCCAAAGTGCTGGGATTACAGGCTTGAGCCACTGTGCCTAGTTTCATACTTCTTATGACACCAGTCATTGGATTCAGGGCTCACCCTAAAGCTAGGATGATCTCATCTGGAGATCCTTAGCTAATTACATCTGCAAAGACGTATTTTCAAATAAGGTCATATTTTGAAGTTCCACGTAGACATAAATTTTGGAGGCCACACTATCCGACCCACGACAGTTGCCCCAGACAGAGGAACAACGGACTTTCCCGTCCCAAATACAAAGATCCCAGAAATGACCTTGACATCCAATCTAAATGACTCTGTGTTCTCTGTGGCTTGGGTTCTGCAGTCGGACAGCTGAGGGTGGGATGTCATTTTCCTCTTCACAGGCCCCCAGCCTCAAACACCTCCAGTAGTGCTGATTCCTGCCACTGTGTGGAAGGGTGGGAAAAGGACCAGGGGAGGTCTGGGTGGGGAGAGTTAGCACAGCAAGGCCTCCTCCGGGTTCTGCCATTGGTAAGCAGATCGTTTCAACTCTTTGGGCTCCTGTTTCTGGGTCAGTAAATGAGAAGGTAGCAGGGGATGGGCCATTTAAAATAAGGGGAAGTTTTGGCTGGGCACGGTGGCTCACACCTGTAATCCCAGCACTTTGGGAGGCTGAGGTGGGTGGATCACTTGAGGCCAGGAGTTTGAGACCAGGCTGGCCAATATAGGGCAACCCTGTCTCTACTAAAAATACAGAAAGTTAGCCGGGAATGGTGGTGGGTGCCTGTAATCCCAGCTACTCGGGAGGCTGAGGCAGGAGTATTGCTTGAACCCAGGAGGCGGAGGTTGCAGTGAGCTGAGATCACCCCACTGTACTCCAGCCTGGGCGACAGAGCAAGACCCTGTCTCGAAAATAAAATGAAATGAAATAAAATAAAATAAATAAAATAGGGGAAGCTTTTATGGATGTCTGGCGTATGTATAGATCCTCTGTGTACAACCAAATGTTTTCAAACTGTAACCCAAACCAGGACCGAGAAACCACAGGTCCCAGCACCCAGAGGCCCCTCCCAGGAACTCTTGCCCCCTTCAAGTGTTTGAAACCACTATCTTGATTTCCAACAGTACAGGTTGACTTTTGTTTTTTCAATTAAGGTGAAATTGATACAACAAAATTTATCATTTTAATGTGAACAATTCAATGGCATTTAGTACATTCTCGATGTTCTACAACCACTTGTTCACTTAGTTCCAGAATATTTTTATCCCCCAAAAAGAAACTCATACTGATTAAGCAGTCACTCTCCAATCTCCCTCCCCAGCCCAGGCAACCACCAATCGACTCTGTCTCTATCTATGGCTTGCCTGTTCTGGATGTTTCATGTAAATGGAATCCTACACTACATGGCCTTGGTTTCTGGCTTTCTTCACTCAGCACTGTGTTTTCGAGGTTCATCTTCATTGAAGCACATATCATAGCTCCATTCCTTTTTTATTTGAGACAGAGGACAGAATCTTGCTGTCATCCAGGCTGGAGTGCAGGCACGTTCTCAGCTCACTGCAACCTCCACCTTCTGGGTTCAAGCAATTCCCCTGTCTCAGCCTCCCGAGTAGCTGGGATTACAGGTGCCCACTACCACACCTGGCTAATTTTTGTATTTTTAATAGAGATGGGATTTCTACTAAAACTGCTGAGTTGGCAAGGCAGGTCTCAAACTCCTGACCTCAGGTGATCGGCCCACCTTGGCCTCCTAAAGTGCTGAGATTACAGGTGTGATCTCCTGCACCCAGCCCTCCATTCCTTTTCATGGCTGAGTAATACTCCCTTGTAAGTCTAGGCCACATTTTGTTTATGCATCCATCCGTTGATGACCATATGGACTGCGTCCCCCTTTTGGCCACTGAGTAACATTAATTGTCTGTTTTTAGATTTTCTGTAGGTGGAATCCTACAGGATGTGCTCTTCTGGGGTTGGCTTTTACTCAACAACAGATTTTTGGGGTTGGCTGTGCCATTCTGGGGGAGGCACTGGAGGTCTTGCCTCTATTGCCACCTGCAGGCAGAGAGCACTGGGAGCCCTCAGTCTTCTGTGCTAATGGGATGGGGGCTCTAGTGGGTAAGATTCCAGCTCCCCAAGGAGGTCCAGGTGGGATATCTCACCAGGATACCCCTAAAGCAGGCTCCTGGCTGATGTGACAACATGATGAGGGAAGATCGGGGGAGCCCTGTGGGGACATGTCACACCAAACTGGCCGCAGCCCCCCTGCCCTGTACGGAGTGCCTGGCCTCACCCAGGAGCCCAGGCGTGTCCCCACATCCCACTTCAAAGTCCCTGTGTCACAGTCCTAATGGCTATTTATTGTCATTAACTATCCAATTATGGAGCCCAAGCGTTTCTTACCTGGTGCTTCAATTAATTGCTTGTAAACACTCAGAAAAGCAGCCTCCGCCTCCTGACTTCTCTTACTAAGGGCCACCACCTTTGGAGACAATAAGAGAAAGAGTCACGTGTAACCATGGCATCTTTGTCTGTAAGCAAATTTCATCATTTTTTTTTTTCCCACAAGAAAACACCTGCAGGTTTGTTTTGTTTTGTTTTGTTTTGAGACAGAGTCTTGCTCTGTCGCCCAGGCTGGAGCGCCATAGAGTGATCTTAGCTCATTGAACCTCAGCCTCCTGGGTTCAAGTAATTCTTCTACCTCAGCCTCCTGAGTAGCTGGGATTACAGGTGCCTGCCACCTCTACAGGTGCCCACCACCATGCCCAGCTAATTTTTTTGTACTTTTGGTAGAGACAGGGTTTGACCACATTGGCCAGGGTGGTCTCAAACTCCTGACCTCAGGTTATCTGCCCACCTTGGCCTCCCAAAGTTCTGGGATTACAGGCATGAGCCACTATGGCTGGCCATGCATTTTTTTTCTTGTTTGTTTAAGAGATGGGGTCTTGCTATGTTGCCCAGGCTGGTCTCGACCTCCTGCGAGACCCCTGCCTCGGCCTCCCAAAGTGCCGGGATTACAGACCACCACTGCACCTGGCCTTAGTCATTTTCTACCTGTGCAAACATGGGATGGGGGAGGGGCAAGAAGGAGAAATGAAGATTAAAAGTGTGGGCTGTGGAGTTAGAAAATCTGGGTTGAAAGCGCAGCTCCACTGTGTGCAGGCTGTGGGACCTTGCACTGCCCCTCTCCGATCCTCAGTTTCTTCATCTGTAAAATGCCGGGTAAATAACAGGACCTACTTCCTAGGCCTGTTGGGATTAAATGGAGCTGCACCTAAGCGCTAAGCACAGGGCCCAGCACACAGGATGTTGGTAACACCTGTTATTCTTCTTATTAGTAAAGGGTAGATTGGAAGTTCAAATGTGATACATGTTTTAGGAGGAAAGTGGGACATGTCTAGAGAATATTTCTTGCCACTGAAAATTAAAGAGAAATTGTTAAAGCTCTCGTAAGATATCAAACAATTTCAACAAATATTGGAGGGTAACAGCATTACCCTCTTTAAAAGAGGTGGAAATGTATGGGTGATTAAAGTGATTTAAAAAGGTTAGTTTCAGGCTGGGAGTGGTGACTCATGCCTTTAATCTCAGTGCTTTGGGAGGCTGAGGTGGGAGGACTGTTTGAGCTCAGAAGTTCGAAACCAGCCTGAGGAACATAGTGAGACCCTGTTTCTACAAAAGATAAAAAAATTAGCCAGGCATGGTGGCTCGTGCTTGTTGTCCCAGCTATTCAGGAGGCTTGTTTGAAGTAAGAGGATTGTTTGAAGCCAGGATTTTGAGGCTGCCATGAGCTATGATTGCACCACTGCACTTCAGCCAGGGCAATAGAGCGAGACCCTGTCTTAAAAAAAAAAGAAAAGGTCCATTACAAAATCTCTGTAATTTCTCTCACTGTTATTCTGAGAAAGTCCCTGGTCTCTCACCTTCCAGCATGAATGAGTCTCTCATTCCCTCAACAAACATTTCCTGAGTACCTGCTGTGTGCCAAGCACTGCGGGCTGAGAGCCCAGCCATGGACAAGGCAGACTTGGGCCCCACCCTTATGGGACTTACAGTCCAGTGGGGACACTGGCATTAAGGCAGCTTCCCCAGATGACTCATTAATTACAAGTGCTAAATGCTTGGCAGAAAAGCACAGGGTGGCCTTGGGAGTGTGTAAGTTGGGGGGAGGCTGACCCAGTTTGGTATCAGAACATCAGGAGTTACCTCTCTGAGGAGGGGAAGTCACTTGGGGGAGGGCAGAAAAAAAATTCTAGAAGCTAGACAAAGGGAAAATCACCAAGCCGCAGGTAGATCTTTTTTAAATTTAAAATTAATTAATTAATTAAGAGACGGAGTCTTGCTCTGTTGCCCAGGTTGCAGTGCAGTGGCACGATCTCGGCTCACTGTAACCTCTGCCTTCTGGGTTCAAGCAATTCTCCTGCCTCAGCCTCCCAAGTAGCTGAGATTACAGGCGCCAGCCACCATACTAGGCTAATTTTTGTATATTTTTAGTAGAGATGGGGTTTCACCATGTTGGCCAGGCTGGTCTTGAACTCCTCACTTCAAGTCATCTGCCCACCTCGGCCTCCCACAGTGCTGGGATTACAGGCATGAACCACTGCGCCCGGCCCTGTGGGTAGATTTTTATCCTTGCTTAGATGGACAAGAGTCAGTTTCTACTCTGGGGACATGTGGTTGAATGGGAGACACAGCTATGGCCAGTAGGAAGCATAACACAGGAGGAGGTGCAAACACTGGTGGCTCCTGTGAGCCCTGAGGAGGGGGCAATTCATTCAGAATCTTGGGGCGGGGGGGCATCCCTGATGGGCTAATAAAAAAAAAAATGACACTGAACGTTTACCATGTGCCAGAAGCTTTTACTATTCATGACAGTCTGTCTCCATGGACACATCAATCACCAAACAGCTGCTGCCACCTGCCCCATCGTACAGATTAGAAAATGGAGGCTCAAGGACATCAAGCCACTTGCCCAAGGTCACCCGGTTAGCAAATGGCAGGGCCAAGATTCACACCAGGTCTGGGGATTCAAATTGCCATTCTGAATTCAAATGCTGCCTTCCTTTTGTCCTGGATAGAAAAACCACCCCAGCCAGTGGGGCCGGGCCTTCAGAGCCCATGAGGATGCTGCTACCTTACAAGCCAACGACAGCTGCCCTGGGCGAGAGGCTGCGGTGCTGGTGACCTGGCACCCAAGAAAACAATGAGAAACAAAAGCAATTCATCTCTTAGGTCTTAGAAGAAGAATTATCAAAGATCAGCTGGAAGAATGACTCAGTGTTCCATTTTACGGTTGCCTGAGCTGAGTGCATGTGGTGGTTGGGGTCTGAGGAAAGGCACTGGCCTCCCATGAGAGACTGAGCAAGGGTGGGGACAAATGCTGGAAGATTCCTTTAATGTTCCCCTGTCCCTGCCTAGAGCACCCCCTACTTTTCCTTCATGGCACTTATCAGTTTGCAATGGTGCATGATTTATCTCTTCCAGTGGGGAAGTCTAAATCTAACATTATAAGGAGGATAACAGCTTTCCCCACTGGAGCGGAGCTGTTCAATATGGCAGCCACCGGTCCATGTGCTACTCAGCACTTGAAATGCAACGATTCCAAACTGAGATGGGTTGTAAGTGTAAAATATAGCATTTCTAAGTCTTAGAAAGAAAAAAGAATATAAAATATCCCAATAATTTTTATTTTTTTGGACAGTCTCGCCGTGTTGCCTAGGCTAGAGTACAATGGTGAGATCTCGGCTCACTGCAACCTTTGCCTCCCAGGTTCAAGCAATTCTCCTGCCTCAGCCTCCTGAGTAGCTGGGACTACAGGTGCTCATCACCATGCCTGGCTAATTTTTTTGTATTTTAGTAGAGACGGGGTTTTACCATGTTGCCCAGGTCAGTCTCGAACTCCTGAGCTCAGGCAATCCGCCCACCTTGACCTCCCAAGGCCAGTAATTTTTATATTGATTACATTTTGAAATGCTTATGTTATGAACATATCAGGTTAAATAAAATATATTATTAAAATTAAATTCACCCACTTCTCTTTTTTTTTTTTTTTTTTTTTGAGACAGAGTCTCACCTTGTCACCCAGGCTGGAGTGCAAAACAGCTTCAATTACAGATGTGCACAACCACGCCTGGCTAATCTTTGTATTTTTAGTAGGGATGGGGTTTCAACATGTTGGTCAGGCTGGTCTTGAACTCCTGACCTCAAGTGATTTGCCTGCCTCAGCCTCCCAAAGTGATGGGAATACAGGTGTGAGCCACTGTGCCCAGCTACACTTCTTACTTTTTAAATTGTAACTACTAGAACATTTTAAATTACAAATGTGACTTATGTTCTTTTCCTCCTGGACACTGTTGATCTCATGGATCAATGGTTGGCAATCTTTGGTCCTTGGTGTGAATCTGGCCCTTCATCTGTTTGTGTAAATAAAGTTTTATTGGAACAAAGGCACAGTCACTCTTTTACGTGTCTATGGCTGCTTTCATGCTACAAGGGCAGAGTTATGTAGTTGTGAAAGAGACTTTGTGGTCTGCGAGGCTAAAAATATTTTCTATCTGGCCCCTTACAGAAAAAAGTTAGCTGATCCTTGCTTTAGGGGTTCATCTAACAGCTGGACAATATTTTTAAAAGCAGAGATCAAAAATTATCCTGAGGCCCGGTACAGTGGCTCACACCTATAATCTCAGCACTTGGGAGGCCAAGGTGGGAGGATCGCTTGAGTCCAGGAGTTTGAGACAAGCCTGGCAACATAGCAAGACCCTGTCTCCACACACACACACACACACACACACCCCTGGATGTGGTGGTGTACGCCTGTGGTCCCAGCTACTTGGAAGGCTGAGGAGGGGGGATCGCTTGAGTCTGGGAGGTTGAGGCTGCAATGAGCCATGATTGTGCCACTGCACTCTAGCTTGGGCAACAGAGAAAGACCCTGTTTCAAAAAAAGAAAAAGAACCCTGTGTGGTGGCACACCCCTGTAGTCCTAGCTACTCAGGAGGCTGAAGTAGGAGGATTGCTTGAGCCCAGGAGTTCGTGGCTGCAGTGAGCTGTGATCACACCACTGCACATTAGCCTGGGCAATAGAATGAGACCCTATCTTTACAAACAAAAGAAATCCTGGACTGGTACTCAGTGTGAATCAGTTCATGTTTAGGGCTTCCCAAAGTCAATGTGACTTTCAAAGACAGGAGCCGTGTGGATTTCCTGCCTCATTCAGTCTTGTTTCAGGACAATGACTGGCTGTCTGTGGAAGGCCAGGTCCCTAAATTCCTTTTTTTTTTTTGAGATGGAGTCTTGCTCTGCTGCCCAGGTTGGAGTGCAGTGGCGCAATCTCAGCTCGTTGCAAACTCCACCTCCCAGGTTCAAGTGATTCTCCTGCCTCAGCCTCTCCAGTAGCTGGAATTACAGACATGCACTACCACACCTGGTTAATTTTTTTTTTTTTTTTTTTTTTTTGAGATGGAGTCTCACTCTGTCGCCCAG